TCCCAACCAATTACTTGGTGTGCAGCGTGTTCAAACAAGCTCCCCACAACACTTCCTCCCCCAAACATCCTGGCAACATCTTTATTGTCGATTGCGGCTCCCGCGAAGTCTAGTAGACTACGTCTTCCCTTCTCCGCAATTTTTCGTATGACCAACTCACTCGTGAAATTGCTGGCGAACGTGACAGTGTAACGTTTGAAACCATCGCTAGAGTCTGACAAGACATGGAAGAGTTTGTCACCAGTGATATCGGTTGGGAGGCGGCCCGACGAAGTCAGAAGCGAAACTGCTTCCCTCAACGTTGCCAAACTTAACTTGTTCACCGCATCCTCTATTCCATCTTTGACTTGCACATACTTCAATTCGTTGAAGATTGCTCGCGCCACACCTCCAACTACACCAAAAGCTTCCTCCACGAAGGTACTTGGTACATGGGGGAAAACAACTCCCTGACATTTCAGTAACAAGCAAACACGCAAACATGGCCACCACCCAGCGATGTAATGGTGCGTCATCACTACTGGGGGGTTGGTGCAATGGTGCAGCGTTGGGGGGGGGGGGTTGGCTAACAGAAATTCAATCCGGCACGTATCGTGCCACTCGGTCCGTCTCTTCTCGTTTTCTTTCTTCCCTCATCGTCTCGTCCGTCTCCTGCCCCCCTCCCACCCCATTGGTTGTTGGCTTGTGGTTTCGTTTGAGCGCTCGTTGTCGGCTGGCCTCTTCTTCCTTCTCGTGCCAGGAGGTCATGAACCTCTTAGCTCCCTGCAGCACCGCCACACTGTTCCTCCGGGAGGATGTTGTTGGCTTCGCAGAAGGCGCTTAGACGGTTGGTGATGATCTTGATGGGGACCTTGCCTGCGTGAGATAGTAGCGAAATCCCCCTGTAGTTGTTTTAATTGGGCCGGTCACCCTTCTTGTAAAGCACCTTGATGGTTGCATCCTTCCACTCTTGCGGAATATCTCCTCCGTTCCACACCTTGACGAGGATGGTATGGAGGTTGTCCCAGGACAAAGGGTTCGGATGGCGGGAACGATACGCTGGATGAAGAAAGAGTGTGGCAATCAAGTCGTCGAAATGAAACAAACTAAGCCAGGTCGGCAGTCACGGTGTAAAGCTTGCCCCTTTCGAGGATGGTCTTAATCTAAACACGTTCAACAATCATGGCATCAAGCCTGGCTTCTTCAGCTTTGAGGACAGAAAGGCGCTTGCACGCTTTCGTGAAGACAATCGATCAGCTCGTTCTTCTTTGAAAGACCTTTTGACACGAAGCGGTGTCCCTGTTTCACCGTCATGAACAGTACTCGTGTCATCGTCCAGATATTGCACCTCTTCGAACGTGACCCTTACCGCGTGCACATCACACACACTGACTTAACAGCCGATCATCCTAATTGAGAACGGATCCACAATTGAGTTTACTGGAATACAGAGGGGCGTTTTACTAATCCTTTGTGCTTATTTCTTCGACGGCTCGGTCAGATGTGCGTTGGTAGTTCGTTTTACCAAGGCGGCATGTTGTTGTCTGGTGCATTTGGTGGAGGTACTGGGGCGTAAGCCGGATGCGAGGGGACACGCAATCGGGACTTAAGCATGATCGTTTTCAGTAACGGATCCACTTCAATGACGTGGCTACGAGTCACTCACGTAATATTACACGACACACGTCAATGCATTGACCGTCGGCGCTTCCAGAGAGAGCGGCGCGCCTTCCACGCTTGAAAGTGGTGTCCAAATTGTGACGTGAAGGCTTGTGAACATACGTCAGAAAGGAGCGTGAATGCACCCATAGGGCGCGTTTGGTGGCTAGTACATGGCACGCGACGGTGTTGAGACTCTTGGGGGAGCTTCCCACGATCATTGGTTTGGGGAGAAATCCGGCTGATTTTCGTTCTCAATTGTGGATCCGTTCTCAAATAGGATGATCGGCTGTTCCTGGTGTTCAGATCGTGGGGGGCATGCAGGAGGTCTAGACGCTTGGTCAAAAGAGGGAAGTATAACTGGCAAGCGAAGATCTGCCCGAGCCCGTGCTTCTACTCGCTGCAATGCTTCACTTCAATCACCTCGGTACCGCTGAGTACATCGATTTTTCCGAAGGTGTTCTTGCTTGTTTTCCTCCGTGAACAGTAAAGGCAAGGGTGACACGTACGAGAGACTTCTTGACCATGTTCGTTCGACAGCTCGACCTCCTTGTACTCGAATGGATTAAGCAAAGCATATTGGATGATTCGACCCCCCCTCGATATCTCGGACCAAATCTGGATCGCCCCTCATCACACGACACATTGTTTCCGACGCTCTACGACGGAACCTCGCTGAATACTGCCTAGGCAACTTCCAAATTACTTCCACAGGAGTTTTAGATTCCGCAGCCGGCGTTTTTTGCCCACACCCGCTGATTCGGATGTATGATACACGGGACTTGATCGATGTCATACAATCATCCATCGCGAAAACGCGCGTCAAGACAGTATTCAGCAGCCTTAGCTTCAGCGACATAGATGGACTATTCCACATCATTCGAAGAATTTCTGGATGGAATAGCGACAACGCATACAGCACATGCTGACAGAAAATCATCGCTTGCTTCCGACAGCAATTTCCTGACCTCGTCAATCCCGGCCGACTTGACCGCCTGCAACCGCCATTGGGGTTCCTCTGGGACCACGTAAACGTAAACACAATTCTTGACTAACACAGAACCTTTGGACGCAGAGCGCCAGTACCGTTCAACTGCACTTCCGACAACAGCCTTAACGCCGGCATATTTCATCTGGAAAAAGAACAACGTGTCACCACGCCTATCCATACCGAACGAATCGATAGCTGGATAATTAAGGGGCACGGCCGTGTAGTATACCCCTTCGTCAAACGATGAATAAATAGTTTCGCCCTTGAATCCTTCCCTCTTTTCGAAACTAAAGTTTAAGGAATCCGTTCCTGACAACACCCCACCGCTATCGATGAGGATTGCCATTTTCAACGGTTCTTCGCCGGCTCGGTCCCAACCAATTACTTGGTGTGCAGCGTGTTCAAACAAGCTCCCCACAACACTTCCTCCCCCAAACATCCTGGCAACATCTTTATTGTCGATTGCGGCTCCCGCGAAGTCTAGTAGACTACGTCTTCCCTTCTCCGCAATTTTTCGTATGACCAACTCACTCGTGAAATTGCTGGCGAACGTGACAGTGTAACGTTTGAAACCATCGCTAGAGTCTGACAAGACATGGAAGAGTTTGTCACCAGTGATATCGGTTGGGAGGCGGCCCGACGAAGTCAGAAGCGAAACTGCTTCCCTCAACGTTGCCAAACTTAACTTGTTCACCGCATCCTCTATTCCATCTTTGACTTGCACATACTTCAATTCGTTGAAGATTGCTCGCGCCACACCTCCAACTACACCAAAAGCTTCCTCCACGAAGGTACTTGGTACATGGGGGAAAACAACTCGCTGACATTTCAGTAGCTCATCCAAGCCCCAAACTGGCATGAAAATCTGCTGGGCATCGGCTAGCTTCAAGAACTCCTTGACTCTTTCATACTTGGGCGACACCAACACAACCGTTGTACCTTGAAAATATTCCCTAGGGCGGTCCTCCGGGTCACTCAAATACCAACTATTTGGGTCATCCATATAACCACGTTCATTAAAAGCTTCCAAACTTGCTTGGACCACCCCAGCATAACTGAACCGATACCATTTGCCCTTTAGCTCGAACACAACAGTCTTTCCTTGGCAGCGAAGCAGATACAGCAGATAGAAACCAAACACTGACTTGCCGATTCCGGGAGTGCCTGTAACAACAATATTGTGAAAAGTGTCGCTGCTAGCACCACCCAAGATCAGCGCTGACAACTCCTTGTAACAAGAACGGATGAATAACTTGGATCCCAACGAAGGGCTGCCGAGGAAGAAGGTGCCATTTACTAGTTCCAGGGTGTTGTTTGTGATCAGGGCTCCGGTGAGAGCGGCCCCAAAATCTGCGAGTTTTGCTTTGACTGCAACGGGCAGAGGAAAAACAATAGGTCCGTCCATGACGGAAGAAACATGTGTTATATTTTGTTCAGCCGAAAAAGCACAAAAATCGGCGCTAGGGACAACGTCACAGACGGGGGTCTGCATGGGGGTTTGTATCCAATAAAATACGAAACGGGCACGAGAGATGCTAGGACGACGAAAAAAAACTCGCTTCCAACAAGCACGGTAACAGGAGAAGAAGCGAGATTCTTCGTCGAAATACAAAAGAGGCACATCATAACCAAGCTTATGTCGGGCGACAACAAACGCAACAGATACCCTCGGTCGAATTCAGGACATGGTGTGAGACCGAACCCGCCATCACGCGAGTTCGGCACTGTTGAAACCACATGACCTTTTCAACGGAGGGAATACGGGTGTAGCGTGCGTAAAGAAAGAAGAGCGAGGACCCTGCTGTTGTAGCCCACTTCAGTAGAACCAGGAGTGCACGGAAGAATATTATGGCAGCACACATGATGCACCTCCGTAGTGTAAGTGCGCGTCGAAGGTGGAATCGAGGTGCTACTGCACAGCAAAAAGCTATCGGTCTTCGCGTCCCCGCACATTCTACAGGTATCTACCGGCCACCAGGTGACTACTCCTCGACTGCTGTTCCACACGATCTGGTATTATTTCGTGGGCGTTGGGAAGACCAGACGATTCGATCCCAGATGTGGAGGGTTAGGACTCTGTTCGGGTTGGAATGGAACAAAAAGTAGCAAGGACACCTACTCCTCCCTGTGTGCGTTCTCAACTATATGATGAATGCTCGATCTCGCATTCTAGAATTATGTGTTTTAACCAAAATGATCGTCTCCGCGTGCACCATCGATCCGCGGCAAAAAAATCATGTTCATACGGAGGTCGAGAACTTGTCACCTACGTATCAACATACCTGGTTGGAAAACAGCGCCTGACGTCCGAGCATGCCATGCGTGCAGCACCGGTATAAAGCAAACATACGGATGTGTGTCATTGTTACCCGGCACACCAAGGGTGACTGGGTGAGTACGGTCTCTTTGATGCGAGTGGCGAAAACGAAAAAGAGCATTCAATCTGTTTCATTGCCTCGAAAGAAGAGGATTCTTGAGCGCAGGACTGCCAAAAGGTGCTTTCTTCACGCAAATACACACGACTCGGCCTTAGATCTCAACCCGTGACAGCTACTGAACGGACACGTACATTGAACGTTCTTAGGCTGAGATACTGCCTACTCATCCGCTGTGGTATGCGTCCTGTGAGCTCCTGATACTACTGCTGTTTCCCAGACTACTGAATTTCAGGGCCTGCCTTGCCGTCTCGGGGGGCGCTGAGAGGGTGAACGCTTCGCTGCCGAATTTTTGAATTTTTGCATTTTGCCGCAGGCGTGGAAAGTGAAAGTTTTGTAGCGACATTACCATCAGCCAGTTAGGTAGTGTTCTCACTGGGTTTCACGGACCTCGCCTGAACCGAGCGCGTACGAATTAGCCCGTGTGCGCAGCGCGGTCGCATAGGAAAGAATTTCGTGGGCTCACTCGCAAAGGGGGGAGTTCTGCTGTGGTGCCGTGTGCGCACGCGCGGAGACGGGCGACGCTCAGCTAATTACTCTGAGAGGGGTCAAAAATGAGCCGCTTCGCTGAGATCTGAAGAGCCAAAATGTGAAATGCGGCACGCTCGTGCGTCTAGATCCAAAGAGTTGGTATATTTTGACTGTAGTTGCCTCTATACGTGATAGACGGGTATCTGAATCCACCGAATGACGTAGTTACCGTACGTTGCTTAGTTCTCCCCCCTGGGGAGGGGTTCGCTTTTTTTCTGAAATCAACCCCCCCGAGGGGAGATTTAAGTACCCCGGGGGGTCGGTCTTTACCTTGTGAACGCTACCTACCCCGGGGGGAATCTACCCCGGGGGGTTGTGCACACAAACGTGGTCCACACACCCACACACAGAAAACACATGAACCCGCGATGAATAAGATTTACGAGCAAGCTTTCAAACAGTAACAGCAGAGGGAGGAGTGTAAAGAAGAAAAAGACGAGGGGAACAGCAGCAGCTGGGGGAGTTTGCCTCGTCTCTCTAGTGATGCCAAGAAGAAGAAGAGGAATAGCCCACGTGCTGCTTTTGCACGAGTGATGCCGTAGTCGTTTTGGTACACAGGACGTAGAGCTGTTGGTGTAAGGTTTATTCGTGGTGAGGTTTTACTGCTGTACCATGTGTTTTGTTTGCTTCGAAGTCCTAATGTTTCATGTCCACAAACATTTAATCGAAAAATGAATATTTTTTCGCCCTTTTCTGCGAGGTGCCGGTCATCCCGGGATCTCTGTACGTTCAATACGGCTTCCAGAGGAACGCTCCATGCAAGAAAAATGGAAGCACTGCTGTGTCGTTCACGTTTGCGCTTCTCTTCCAACAAAAATCGACTTCCACAAAATCACACCCCCCCAAGGAAATTGTTACCCCGGGGGGAGATGGAGTAACCCGGGGGGATGTTTTTTCCCCCCGCGATATACGATTTACCCGGGGGGGAAATCAAAGAACGCATGGTTCCAGGGGGAAAAGGTGGGGGGGGGGGGAGAACTCTACCCCGGGGGGAGAACTAAGCAATGTACGGTAATAGAGCCGCGGCGTGTTCAGCGCCTGTTTGCGAAAAAAATGGTTTTGAAAAATTGAAGAGGATTGTGTCCTCAGGGTTTTGCTTGAGTCTGCTTACGACTCAGAGACAACGTGACTCTAGGTGTGTCCCAACCTGGACGGCGGACTGCTGTGGACATGCATGTCCTGAGCATCGTGCAATCGTGCGAGTCCTCATCATCCAGTTCCTGACGAGGTAATAAAGCCGACGTGCGCGACCGAAATTTCGAAATTTCGTCATGTTCAGCGGCTTTTTTCGGTTGCGCGCTCCTTGTACGTCTGAGAGCCAACGCCACTCTAGATGTCTCGCAACCTAGACGGCTGACTGCTGTGCACGTACCCCGAGTTGATCAGCATCGTGCAGCGTGCGAGTGATTGTTGCTGACACAGTCCCGGTGTGGAAATTTAAAACTAACAATGAAACTCAGAGGCGTGACACACATGGTGAGAGGCGAAGGTTCGAAACGGAAATTGTGGAGATTTGGGAGATTTTAAGTGTTGCGCTGTTGGGGTCGCCGGCCCAGCGTCGATCCCGCGGCAGGGGGACAGCGGAGCCGCGCTGGAAAGACTTTTCGCTGAGCGTTCGCGAGGGCGGTACTCCGCGAGGATCCGAAGGTGGAAAGTCAAAGAAAACGTCTTGATCTAAGAGGGGTGAGTCCCCCCGCTTCACGCTCAGCGCTCGAGGGAGCCCGCGTAATAATACTTACGGTCGGTCAGCGCCAAAATTTCCTCATCACACTGCTGTGGATTTTCACACATAATGGGACGCGTCTATACCTGCGGGGGCGTTGTTGGCACGGAGCTGCTCAATCCTGGAGAGCCGGTCCTCCTTCTTCAAAAGGATCTCGCGGAGTTGCTCCTCTTTCCTGCGTAGTTGCTCCTCCTTCCCCTCTTTCCTGCGTAGTTGCTCCTCCTTCCTGCCTAGTTGCTTCAAGAGGGCTTCGGGGTCGGTCATTCCGAGGTACTTGGAGCCCCCCGCAATAGCAGCCTCAATATAATCAATCTTCTTGACAACCTCTGCCGTCTCCTCCTCTGCATCCTCGATCTTTCGCTCTACACCACGGATCTCATCCTGGACCGCACGGATCTCATCCTGGACCGCACGGATCTCGTCCGCCGCTGGACTGCCATCGGCAGCTTCTCGCGCATCATGATCGCCGCCCCCCTCCTCCTCGTCGCCCTCGCTCATCGCGCTCGAGCTCGTCATCCCTCGCACCGGGTAAAAATATTGCGCCCCACAAGTGCCACACGCCCCGAACACAGGGCAGATCGGACCAGAGGGCTGCGAGAGCGAAAACGTCGCCGCCGCAGGCGCGGAAGCAGGGGGCTGCGAGCGTGACGACCTGAACGTCGCAGTCCAGCTCGGGACGAAGGCCAAGCACGCTTGTGCGATACAGACCAGGAGAAGAACCGACACACAATGCGTTGACATCTTGAAACCAATGCACTCTTTGCTTCGCTTAGTAGGGGTGGGGCGGCGGCGGTGCTCGTCGGGGGCTCTTTCCTCACTGTCGTATCTCCCTCTTCTCACCTCGAAGCAACTTCGCAATTGGTTCCTGCTACTTTGCAAATGCTCCAGCAGCCCTCCTGCGTATGATACACTGTGCGTTCTCCAGTAGTTACGAGTGGGAGGTGGCGGTGTTGTGCGGCGTCGCGCGTGGAAAAATGGAGGAGTGAGAATTGGTAGATGCCTCAAGAATTCCGGTCCGCACCCCCCGCAAAACAAACTACTGTTGCGTGCCCCCTTCGGCACAGTCACCAAACAAACACCCCACACCATCAAGCCGAAGACAGCTTGGCCCAAGACACCAGACACGCTGTAGCCCGAGATTAGTGTCGTCTGGTGAGTTATTTCGGTGCAATATTGAAATGCGCGAAGCCGCGATGAACTGCTCATGCAAGCCCGCTGCCTCTCGTGTGCGGAGTACACACAGCTGTATGCCCCCCCTCTCTCTAAACATATATCTTGAGTGCGCGCTCTTTCTCTGCCCTCTTTCTTTGTCGCGCCATGTGTCTTTTGGCGCACTCTCTCTACCGGTTCCCAATGTCATCCGTGACCCCTTCAAATTTGTAAACGTGTGACGCTGAGCACGAATATGTAGCGCTGACGTGTTTCTGCCAGCACACGGAGCATGTCGCGTGTTCCAAGCGACGGGATATAATCTAGATGGATGGTGTTTTTCTGCTGGTATTCCTTAGGACTTCATGTATGACCGACCTCACTTCAACGGCTAACGTTCGGATGGCGCCTCAACCAAGCCCATCAACGGAGATGTGTGGCCGCCTCGCTGCAGCAGCTATTTATCGTTCCGGAGTTGGAGATAAGTTCAAGCAATCCATTGGATGGTTGTGCGCTGATGGTGCTGTTTGTTTTCTAGATGCCTCCGTTGTTTTTTCTGTTGGTACAGAAACGGCGCTTTCGCGTGTTGTTGTGAAACCAGAAATGTGTTTTTATCAGGTTTTTATCGTTGCACTATTGAAAAGGCACGTGCGACCGCGTGAAGTCCGTTGTGTTCTCGGGGTCGTCGCTGTTGCAGATTGAGGATGGACAGTCCATCACCGATGTCGTATTGCCGGCGTCTCGTCAATGGCTAGCTTTTGGGCGTATGTCAACGAGCCTGTGGTTGACATCGTGTGGCCGCCATCCCTGCAGACTCTGACCTTCGCAGATTGTAACCAGCCCATCGTCGGGGTCAAGCGGTCAGATTCGTGACAAGGGCTGAACTTCATCACAGGCTTCAACCAGCCGATTGTCGAGTGACGTGGCCGGATTCCTTGCACAATCTACGACTCTCCGGCTGTTTCCATCTCCCCCCCCTACAAAATTACGTTTTTGGTGTCACACCTACCCTAATACTACTCCCAAAGGTGTTTGTATGGTGCGTGCACAACAATTTGTCGAACAAGTTTCCCAGCACAAAAAAGAGTTTTTCTCTGCTTTTGTTGTTTTTGAGGCGTTCAAATACGAAACAAATCACCTCGGTCGTCAAGAGTAGTCGACGAGAGCGCGGTCATCCATGATGCGGCCGTTGCCATTGTCCTTGATCATCCTTGAAGCACTCCATCCAGTGAAAGCGGCCCAGCCTTTGTAGAACCTTAAGAAACGAAAGAAGCCATGCCATGACCTGCCGCTTGAAACGTACACCAGTTCAATGCTGAAACCAGTCAACCGGAGGTTTCGACGGAAGTTTTGGGAACAGTCCCCCCGCCCAAGGAAAGTTATCTGCCGAGTTTAACGATCCTTCCTCATGGAATGCTGTTTTTTGCGCACGTGCCACAGCGTAGAAAGCAACGGTGACTACATTAGACAAGCGGTGAAAAAACCAACGCAACTATTGATGAAGCGAGAAAACACCGCCGCCTTGGCGCCGACACGCGAATCCTTCTCTGGGTTTTGCATGGGCAACAGCGGAGTTCTGGAGTGAGCGGGCGGGCAACTATGTTCCACCGCTCACGTCTGTCTGCGAGCATCCTAGAAAGAGACGGCCTCACCAGAGACTGTCGGCGATGGTGTGGGCACCGGTGTTGGTCCTGTGCACCTGGTAGTCGTACGCACAGGTGCGAACAGCCATAAATCAGGATGAAAAGCAGGTTGGGCAGGTTTGGGCGAAGCAAGGCGAAGCAAGGCGAAAGGAGAGCATGATCTGGGGTTAGGGTTGCTTCGGCCAAATTTTGGGGCGAATGTGTGCGCATAGCACCAGCTGACAGCTGGGCGTCATGAACCTCTTATGTCAGGGATTGGATTGTAAAGAAACGGATAACTCTTCAAAGTCCGTGCAAGTAATTTACCATGCAGGGGGCAACGTATTTGCCACAAAAGCGCGTGGCGGCGTCCATCATTTTTCAGGAGCCCACGCCGCAAAATCCAGGTGACACAGAAACTCTTCGAAACTTCCCCCCCACCCAACTCTATACACTGGCCACAAACACTATGCCATCCCACCCGAGCTGGGCCGTCTCATGTCACCAATGCCGCGAATGCCTTTCAGAGCGCTCGGCCTTAAGCTATGCGATGCTTCCGCCGGCTACAACGCTAAATCGACCTAGTCGTCTTAAGCGAACCACTATTGCCACACCAACTTCTCATCCACATTATCATCACTCTCAGCCTCTCCCACTAGTTCTTCGGTCAGTCAGCTCAACAAAGCTCTTCTGCAAATTCGCTGCCTCCGTGCTGCAAAGACTGATCTTGTACCAATCCCCTGCGTTGAACTCGTCCTTGTCAAATTTCTGTACATAACTGGCGAACACTACTCAGCGTGGAAAGTTAGGGCCTAAAAGGCTAAGTATCACGGAACGAACGAGTTCTCACGGTAAACCCTACCAGGCAAGGCAGCGGCCCCAGCTTTGGCATCGGCCGCAGGAGGTGGAGGTAGAGGGGGTATTGTCAGTCGAAACAAGCATGGATGTCGCGTTCTTTGTGTTGTGGCTCGGTTAATTTGCTTTAGAAATTCAATCCGATCAGCGCAAGAATGTCGCCATGGAACCAAATCAACACCACCAGACTGCCCTTTTTTCTTCTGCTGACGGTTTCGATACTGAGTGTGCATTTCATCTTGGACGTTTTTCTACGCAGGGTCCGTTCGCACTAGTGGTTCTCGGTCAGGTTTGTCCACAATGGATTGTGGACTAAATTATCGATTGTCACCTTTCCCTATTTGTCCCTCACCCTGTTGTGATTTACGAAGGGTCTATCAAACAGCTTCTCTCGTGCGTCGAAGTATTTTTTACTCTGGGAGCTTACGGGTGCGGGAAGAATGAGGTGTGCCGCCGTGCAGCAGCCGTACTAAATGACGATTGGACGACGAGATTTGTAGCACTTGGTCGTTCAAGCTGGTTTACGGGAGCACTTCGCGTAGTGTAGATCGAATGGTGTCGGATGGTGCATTTCGAGTGTTTGTGCCTTGCAACAACACATGATTGAGACATTGATTTACTTTTCTGTTCGCGGTCACATGGCCAGCACACGAGGTCTTGGAGGGAAGTAAATCCTTCGAGGAACACACGAAGTGTAGCAATGCGCTCGAGACATCTTGCTCTCGTCTTCTTAAAAAATAATCGCGCTCGCGAAGTCGGCACAAGAGGTGTAGAAGAAGAGCAACACCCTCGAGGCCCATTTTGCTCTCCTCTTTGTTGCGTTTTTTTCACGCTCGCGTGGCCCGCACAAGAAGTGTAGGAGAAAAGCAATACCCTCCAGGCCGATGGCTCTCCTCTGTTTTTCAAATCACTTTCGTGTAGGGAAAAATCAACACCCTCGAGGGCGATTACTCCCCTATCCTTCGAAATCCTCGCAGCCACGAGGCTTGCACGCACCCACCCCTACATCTATCTTGAGCAAAACATTTCCGCCCTCACGTGACCAACACAAGAGATGCAAAGCGAGAGCAACCCCCCCCAGGCCGATTGCGCTTCCTTTCTTTCAAAATTGGTTCACTAAGCATTGACCTTCTCCCGCACCGTGCCATATTGGCCGTTGCGAAACCTAGGCGAACTCGAAGTTCATGATTTCCAAGTCCCTCGACATCTTTCATCACAAACCTCACATTTTTTACCTTAGTCTCGGGCTTGATATCCTGCCTAGCCACGGGCTTTCGGTGCAGGCCTGCACCATGGTCATCTGACGTACGCGTCGCGGATCCACAAGCCTGCATAGAAGGTCGAATGCAAAAAAATCAACGTCGGTGTGTTACACTGCAACGTGGTTCAAAAAAATTGTAGCGGATACGGCTATGACTCTTTTTTTTGTCACCTGGCTTTGAAGCGTGTACTGAAGAAGGTGTACGGCGTGGTTGATGTGTGAAGGGTAAGCACCGTGCACCGACTTACCCTTTCTCGTGACCATTCTAATCATCAGCGCTGTATCATTGTCGTCCACTAAGGCATCACTGGTCTCATCGGCACCACCAATACCCCCCAGAAAGTTGAGCTTGCTGAGCGACCCTTCGCTGCTAGCGAAGGCGCGCAAGGCGATGGCCTCCTCGTGCCCGGCGTCTCCCTCTGCCGTGGCTTTCACCGGTAGCGCGTGGACAGTGTCCTCCATCGATGCATTGGCGAAGGCCAGCCTCGACAACCTCCGCATAGTAGCGACACCTCCCAGCTCGGCCTTTTCTTTGTCACTAAGATATGGTTTGGACCAGTCTTCCGGCATACCATTCGTTCCAACACGATCGACACCGCAGTAGATACTGCACGAACGATGTCCACACTATGGTGTGCATGGCGATCAGCGACAGGATATACTTCCGAAGGTCCTTGTCCAGTGTCACCGATTTTTTTGCCGTTTTTGTCGTGATTGACGCATCGACAGTCCAAGAGATGCCACTGATGGATCTTAGTGTCGCAGCCGGTGAGATTGCATCTACACTCTGCGACTGATGCACTGTGTACACCGCTCCGCTGATTGTCACAAGGGTTTTGTACAGCTCCACTCCAATGCGTATTGGGTTGAACTTTGCGTTCTTGTTGTACCAATACTTGAGAGAATGAAGCTTGGCCCTCCTGAAGTAAACCTTTTCCGGAAACAACCATGACTTGGTCAACCTCTTCAGTCAACCCGTCTGCAAGAGTGCTCCCCAGTTTCGGGAACGTCATGGTTTCATGTCTGCTTGCGGTTGCTTTGTCATACGTGCCCTCGCATTTTTTAACTTGTTTCGCGGCCGCACGCCTGCTGTTTGCGATTAACTCGCGTGATTCTTCGTCCCATGGCTCGCATAGTATGTCCCCGATGTCTTTGTGTCCATTGCCTGTCCTCTGCACATAAGGCCTCTTCGTCGCCCCCGCTTCCCGCTCGCCGGCTGGCGAAGAGCATTTCGAGAGGTTTTGCGGACGCACCCGCGTCGGTCTGACCCCCGCCTCACCTTTTCCACCGGCTCGGGAATCGGCGGAAGACGTGGCACTCGTCGAAGAGGCCGCGGAGATAGCATCGGCGCACCCACTGTCATCCACGCTGGCAGCTTTACCCCCCTGAATGGTTCAAACGAAAGTGATGTATGGTAGGTTAGGAAACGAATGCACGGCTGCCTAACCATCAGGCAAGACATGTGGGGTTTGGCGCAAACGTTCCGAGACACACCAGTTGAGAAACATCTCACCTTCTCAGCACCGAGGGACGATGTGCTCCTCGAAACAGTTTTCCTCGCTTTATGCCTTCCCTTGCCCTTTGTCGCGTTTTCGTTCTCCGCCGGAAAGCGCTTGCGAGACACTGCTTCTTCTTTTCATACCGAACATTGCCACACTGTTTTGTTCGGGGAAAAATCGTGTGAGAGGAGGGCAGAGATTTATGGGGTGTTCTTGGTGTCTTAAAAAATAATTTGTACCAATTTGTCAAATAACTGCTTACCAAGTGGCAAAATCCGTTACTTTCTCAGCACGTAGAAAATGCGTGAGGGAATCCCTTGGCGCATCCATCCTCCTTATCCTCGTCGTCCCCGTCTCTCTCCTCTTTCTGACATTCTGGGCAAAACCACTGAGACAACAACACATAACACAGAAAAAAGCAAGAGATCGGTCCGCATGATCACAATCATCGACTCAAGAGGTTGTTAGGTGCCTAAAAGAGAAGTTGCAGAAAGCTCATTCTCTTTGGGTACTCGGGAAATTTATCACGGAGAGATATGGTCCATCAATTTCAATTCGGATACTCCCTTGACTAATTCCGGCCGCCACCGCCCTGTTCTTATATTAACCGTTTTGCGTTGTTGGATTCTCCCAGCGACATCTAGGAGAGAGCCGCGAAGTCCCCTCTATTTCTTCCGAACGCGTTTTGCATTGTACGTGTCAACTTCGTCACGCATCAGTTGGGGTATGGCGAATTCGCTTATCTTCACTCACCTTCCCGAGTGGTGCCTTCTTGAATCCCGCGCATTTCACACGGCAGCTACTGTCGCACGTTCTGCCGTCTCGGATGGGTTTGTCGCAGAGCAAAATGTCTCGCTTGTTGTTGTTTTTAAAACGTAAAAGACATCGCGTTCGTCTGCAAGTCGCTTCTGCCTCTCCTTTTCTTCTGTCAGCCGCTTCTTTCCCTCTTTCGACCGCTCCTCTTGCTCGTGCTCGCGTCGCGCCTTTTCCCACTCCGTCTGTATACGGGCGGTTTCTTCTTCCGCACGAGCATCGTCCCACTCCTCAAGCACACCGATATTTGCTTTCCATTCTCTCACCGATTAGTTTAAAAATTAAAAGGTGGTTCGCGCCTGGTGAGCCACGCTGGGCCCATGACTTTAGGCCGTCGGGTTCTCGGTGGAAGTGTAGATACCTGGTTGAAGAAAGAACGTACGAACGTTCAGATTGGGTGAACCCAAAGTATGGGTTCAATTCCCGACAAAAAATATAACCGTTTTCATCTTGTTTTGCAACAATCTGTGCAAAAAATTAAAAAAAAATGCTTCCACAGCGGAAGCAGGCGGGGCATGTGTCTCGGGTTTTTGTCGCGGCGGCAAGGACGTTGGTAAGCATTTATGCCTCGTGTAGAAAGGCGCGAAAAATGCTTCTGTCCTGCCTGTCAGTGTCGTCTGATAACGGGTGCAATTTTGGTCTTGAGTATTTGTGTGTTGGGGTACCTGAATATCTTTCTTTCAACATACGACAAACCACCATGACCCGACGTCGACGCATAGGAGCACGACAATGGCTCAGCACAGGCTTCGATGCAGATGCCATCATCGCCCCCGCAGCCACCGAAGCCTCCGGAGCGCCCAACACGTTGATAGCGTCCCAGCCATCCGGAGTCTCTATATCCACCGTAGCGTCCGTATTCACCGAAGCATCCGGAGCCTCCAAAACATCCATGTTTCAACCAGCACATCCCCGGAGTGGCTTGGCCGAACTCCTTGCAGAGGCTCGAGTTCGGGGATAGGTAACACCAGCCCATTGATGGAGTTGTATGGCCTGCCTCGCTGCAGCAGCTGTTGTTGATAGGCGATTTCAATCAGTCCTTCACCGGCGTACCGTGGCCTACCTCGCTGCAGCAGCTGTTGTTGCTTGGCGATTTCAGTCCGTCACCGGAGTAGCGTAGCCTGCCCCGCTACAGCAGCTATCGTTCGGGGGCCATTTCAACCAATCCATCGGCGGAGTAGCGTGGCCTGCCTCGCTGGAACAGATGTCGTTCGGGTGGAGCTTCGACCAGCCCATCATCGGAGTTGCGTGGCCTGCCTCGCTGTAGCAGCTGTCGTTTGTGTACAATTTCAACCAGCCCTTCATCTGAGTTGCGTGGCCTGCCTCGCTACGTAGCGTCAAGAAGGATGGACATAGTCGGTCGTAAAATACGGAAGTTGATGGTTTGGCCGAGGCTGATGTCAAAGCTATTGTTGTGCTATTTCTCAAGTATTAGTGTTGTTTGTAGCTGTCGTCGGGTGTGAATGAAGTATTCACGCTCTGTGCGAGCTTTCTCGGTGTGATAAAAAAGAGAAACGAGAAAGGGAGGGGGAATACGTATGGGAAGAAAATAGGGTGAGAAACAAAAGTGAATGGGCGAGAAGGGGGTAGTCCGTTGTAGAATACGGAAGCGAAGGGAAACGAGGGAATCGCGAGAAAAAAAAAATGTGAGACAAATATCAAGGAAATCATGACGGGGTTCTAACTTCAGTCGGCGGTGAGATAGAATGGGGTGAGATAGGAGCCTGATCACTGCTTTGCTGATTCAATACGTAAGGAATTATCATCCTTTGGATAGTCATACACTTTCACAGCTCCAAAAGAAAGAGATCTGCCCGACTACGACACAAACTGGCGAAGCGTGCATGTGATGCTCTCGGCTCATACAAATTGACAGCAAAAATCCCGAGGTCAATAGGGGTACACAGTGACGAGATACCGCGATTTCAAAGAACTGTTCTGAATCACGCCCCGAACCGAAATAATATTTTTAGAACCCGAACCACCGCGCACGCCAGTGGTGAGTGTCCTTTTGCTCACACCCTTGCACACCCTAGTTCGACGACAGAAGTGAGCAGCGGAGCAGCACGAGTGGTATCCAGTGACCGTAAAAGCCTCTGTGGAAAAGGAAGGTGTGTTTACGAGTGCCTCTACGTTTTCAAGTGCGCGGGTCTCTGACACAGAATGTTTTTAGCACGATAAAGGCCACCAGACGCCATCGTGGACTGCAGAAACGCCAGAGATACGTCCCCATAGGTGTGTGAGTGACCTCCAGTGCTCGAAATTTTATTCTTCGATGCCCCTTTCGCGTTTCTCGCTTTCGCACCGACGTGCGCACGCACGTGCGGACGTGTTCGCTTGGATAACACGGGGGGTGCTTTCAACTGTTCTCACCTCCCCCACCCCTCGGAAACAGGTTTTGTGGGCGTCACATGTACCCATATGCTCCCAAATGTGTACTTTGGGCTCCAGGGGTGTTCGCCCGTACTCCCGCTAGTGAAAAAATGTAGAAATCAGAGGAGTCGCTTGCCGCGAGTACACGTTTAGGACCATAACTCGGCGCCGAAGTATCCGCTGCCATAAACAAAATATGGGCGTGTACGCATGCATGCACGACTCATATCTAAGATGTTGCCAAGTTTCATTTTTTTCGGGGGAAGATTTTATTTTTATGCCCAAAACAAGATTAACAGTAGTAGTTGGAGGGAAAGTGTAGACGTTGCGCCCAAAACGCATCGCCATTTTGTCCGATGAGGCTCAACGTTTGCAGGCGTGTGCGCCTGGCCGGTCCCGACCTTGTGAGAAAAACACGAAGAGAATCGAAGCTGATTTCGATTTTTTAAAGCCAGTTTGAAGTTTTACTGCAGCGCCTTTTCAGTCTCTTTTGCTGTACTCCGCCCCAGATTTTTTCGGCCCTGAAATTTTCATGCGTGTGTGCCACGGTCGCAGCACCTGCCTGCCCATCGGCGAAGAAAAACGAGCGATATCGGTGCCGGTGTCGCCCTACAAGCACCAACGTATGACGTACAATACTACCACGCCTTGACCACTAACTCCCCCCAAGCTTCTCGCAAATGGTACGATAATCGTAAAATGTGCCCTGTTTGTGCTCCCGCCCCCTTTATTTACCATTCGCAATTTCTTTGAGCCGAATCCGAGCAGGTGTCTTCGAGAGGCGCACCCGTGCGATGAGATGCTCACGGGACTGTAGTGTCGTCGCCAATTAGAAAACGTAAAGTGAATCAGTCACGTTTTGTGCACGATTGCTGACCAATCAGCAATCGTGCACGTATCGTACAGAGTCGTGCTGTAGTATTTCCAAGTGTTTGTACGATTGGAGCACGATTCAAGTGTCCGGGAATTATCGAGAGCTCTTTATACAGTAGGAGTTTAGTTTGCACACGCACCGCCAGATTTTTTCTGTGTGACCACGGGTTGGAGTGAACGGCACACTGTTAGTGCTGTGAGCACTGATTTGAAGTGAAGACAAATTTGCGTCAACTTCAAGGTTTTTTCGAAAAACACGTTCACGTACGTTTTGAGACCAATTCGTCGAGGGTGAGCAAAGTCGAAGCCTTCCGAGAATCAGTATGAACAGGGCTTGCGGTGTATATGCTCAGGATTGCCTGTGGCAGCTTGTGTGTGGCTGCAGAAGGGATAGAAACAGCTCCAAGAACGGCCTCTCTACTCCGATTTTTTTCGTCTATTTTTCCTCCACTCTCAACTACATACGTTCTGACTCAGCTGCTGCTGTATGCACACGAATGAATGCGCTGCTACTCCACCTTTTGGTGAGCGGTACTATCGCTCCCGATCTGCCAGCGTAGTGAACATGATCCTACGCTGGTGATCCGGTGTCTGTGTGTGTTATGTGAGTTGTGGACGCAGCGCACCTGGGTAGCAGTACTTCACGGTGGGAACCTGCCTTTGGATATGTATGCATGTCAAAGATATGGTAGATTGGGGTTTCTATCTTCCTGGTTGGCATGTTGGTAGGAGAGAGAGAGATAGATGGAGAGAGAGAGACGAGACTCGTGTGCGATAATAATACACTGTGTTTACCATCACCAAG